ACAAATTAGATATTTGTTCCACTTGGCTTCTGTGAAGCATATAGGACCAGATGTCTTCAAAACATGCATGATTGATCACAATATGTTACGGCGGTTTCTTTTGGTATTTTTGAAAGTATTTGTGTAAGCGTCTTCACTATATGTAAATATCTATTTAAGCACCATATATGTGTGAACGTATATGTATGCATCGGTGTGGTCATCTTTTTCAGCATATAGGTAAGCATATGTGTAAGCATCCATGTAAGCATCTGTGTAACAATCAGCGTGTGTATCTGTGTGATCACCTATGTAAGCATCTGTGTAACAATTAGCGCCAGTGTGAGCATCCATGTAAGCATCTGTGTAACAATCAGCGTGTATATCTGTGTGAGCATCTATGTAAGCATCTGTGTAACAATCAGCGTGTATATCTGTGTGAGCATCCATGTAAGCATCTGTGTAACAATCAGCGTGTATATCTGTGTGAGCATCTATGTAAGCATCTGTGTAACAATCAGCGTGTATATCTGTGTGAGCATCTATGTAAGCATCTGTGTAACAATCAGCGTGTATATCTGTGTGAGCATCTATGTAAGCATCTGTGTAACAATCAGCGTGTATATCTGTGTGAGCATCTATGTAAGCATCTGTATAACAATCAGCGTGTGTATCTGTGTGAGCATCTATGTAAGCATCTGTGTAACAATCAGCGTGTATATCTGTGTGAGCATCTATGTAAGCATCTGTGTAATAATAAGCGTGTATATCTGTGTAAGCATCTATGTAAGCATCTGTATAATAATCAGCGTGTATATCTGTGTGAGCATCTATGTAAGCATCCGTGTAACAATCAGCGTGCATATCTGTGTAAGCATCTATGTAAGCATCTGTATAATAATCAGCGTGCATATCTGTGTGAGCATCTACGTAAGCATCTGTGTAATAATCAGCGTGTATATCTGTGTGAGCATCTATGTAAGCATCTGTGTAACAATCAGCGTGCATATCTGTGTAAGCATCTATGTAAGCATCTGTATAATAATCAGCGTGTATATCTATGTGAGCATCTATGTAAGCATCTGTGTAACAATCAGCGTGCATATCTGTGTAAGCATCTATGTAAGCATCTGTATAATAATCAGCGTGTATATCTATGTGAGCATCTATGTAAGCATCTGTGTAATAATCAGCGTGTATATCTGTGTGAGCATCTATGTAAGCATCTGTGTAACAATCAGCGTGCATATCTGTGTAAGCATCTATGTAAGCATCTGTATAATAATCAGCGTGTATATCTATGTGAGCATCTATGTAAGCATCTGTGTAATAATCAGCGTGTATATCTATGTGAGCATCTATGTAAGCATCTGTGTAACAATCAGCGTGCATATATCTGTGTAAGCATCTATGTAAGCATCTGTATAATAATCAGCGTGTATATCTATGTGAGCATCTATGTAAGCATCTGTGTAATAATCAGCGTGTATATCTATGTGAGCATCTATGTAAGCATCTGTGTAACAATCAGCGCATATCTGTGTAAGCATCTATGTAAGCATCTGTATAATAATCAGCGTGTATATCTATGTGAGCATCTATGTAAGCATCTGTGTAATAATCAGCGTGTATATCTATGTGTGAGCATCTATGTAAGCATCTGTGTAATGAAATCAGCGTGCATATCTATGTGCGCATCTATGTAAGCATCTGTGTAACAATCAACGTACATATCTGTGTGGAGCATCTACGTAAGCATCTGTGTAATAATCAGCTATATATCTATGCGGAGCATCTATGTAAGCATCTGTGTAACAATCAGCGTGCATATCTGTGTAAGCATCTATGTAAGCATCTGTATAATAATCAGCGTGTATATCTATGTGAGCATCTATGTAAGCATCTGTGTAACAATCAACGTACATATCTGTGTAAGCATCTATGTGAAAGCATCTGTATAATAATCAGCGTGTATATATGTGTGTGAGCATCTACGTAAGCATCTGTGTAATCATGAGCATATCTATGTGAGCATCTATGTAAGCATCTGTGTAATAATCAGCGTCATATCTGTGTGAGCATCTATGTAAGCATCTGTGTCAGCGTATATCTATGTGAGCATCTATCGTAAGCATCATATCAACGGCTATATCTGTGTAGCATCTATGTAAGCATCTGTGTGAGGCATCTACGTAAGCATCTGTGTAATAATCACCGAGCATATCTATGAGCATCTATGTAAGCATCTGTGTAATAATCAACGTACATCACGTCTGTGTAATAATCACCGAGCATATCTATGTGAGCATCTATGTAAGCATCTGTGTAACAATCAACATTCACATCTGTGTGAGCATCTACGTAAGCATCTGTGTAATAATCGCCGAGCATCTCTTTGTGAGCATCTATGTAAGCATCTATGTAACAATCAACGTACATATCTGTGTGAGTATCTACGTAAGCATCTGTGTAATAATCGCCGAGCATCTCAGCGAGCATCTATGTAAGCATCTATGTAACAATCAACGTACATATCTGTGTGTGAGTATCTACGTAAAGCATCTGTGTAATAATCGCCGAGCATCTCTTTGTGAGCATCTATGTAAGCATCTATGTAACAATCAACGTACATATCTGTGTGAGCATCTGCATAATATTAATATTTGTCGATGGGTATTTTTCGAAAAACTGTGTGGTTTATTTAGCGCACTGTCAACGCATGTGTTTCGATGTTATATTATACTGTTGTGTATGTTGACATTCGGCAGACTTCTATTTGCAGTTATATCAATTACATACAGCTTCACATGATAAATCACAATTTAATAAAATACGAAATAGTGTGGTACTGAGATGACATTTGTGTCACATATAAAGAAGAGTAAAGCCTTCTATTATTCCTTTCCACAATAGTTCGCGTGTTCCACTTAACACGGACAAAACACTCCGCTTGTTTTAACATACACTGCAAATCGATTAGGACAAACAGAAAATTGTCTGTGTATTACCATGTTACCGTGCCCACAGAAGCCTCATTGAGCGTTTATTAACAAACTAACATCCATTATGAATGTTCCACAATGAGTCGCTAATGAGTTATACACCTATATACACTCAGTCTAAATACAGGCAGATATGGGATATATACTCGCAAATAAGAAACGCAACGTGGTTTTCAGATGAATACTTTATGCATTTTAATAATAAACATATCATAATAAGTCATTGTCACTGACCGATCACGGCACACACGAAACGATAATAATTGTAATAATAATTGGGATTTTATAATGCGCCCTTTCCATGTACAAGGCACATGCTCAAAGCACTAACACAATCTGATTCTTATTACCCCGGATAACCCAAGCTGCCTGTGAGGCGCTAGAAGGTTAATAGTCACATGACTTATCCCACCGGGTACCCATTTTCTTTTGGATGAACAGAGGCAAGTTTGAACAAAGTCACTTGCAAAGGGTGAGACCACATGTATCACATGTGCTTCGTTGTGGGACAGGACTGAAGTCTTAGAAACTCTCAGGAGTCAAGCTGCCAAACACGTTCACCCACCCAAGGACTCTCCGCGCCCAACGATGTAAAGGTGAACGTCATCTGTTTACAATATTCTCAACAAGAGAGTCCAACATTCTGGACTCTCAACAAGAGAGTCCAGAACTGCCAGGCATCGTCTCCTCAAGAACCAATCAGATTCCGAATTGAGTCCTGGGAATGTTCACCCACTTTTCTCGCAGTGCTTGTGTCAACTGTTGGAGGTTCTGTGGCCGTTGCTGATGTGATCGCAGACGCCTATCAATAGCATCCCATAAATGTTCGATGATCTGGAGACCTAAAGCACCATGGGAGTACTTGGATGTAGTGGTTGCTCAAAAAGGCCGTTGTCAGCTTTGACGTGTGAGGTCGGTCGTCGTCGTGTTAGAAATGACATTTGGCTGATGAATAATGGGAAGGACGTGTCGCCGGTGGATTTGTGTTCGACGTCGCGTATCAAACCTATTCTGACGGTATTGTACATATATACCCGCCCATATCATTACACTACCGACCCAAACACTGTCCACTTCCTGTATGCAGTTCCGAGCATAACCTTCCCCACGACGTCTGTACTGAGAAGCTAAAACTGTGACTCGTCAGTGAACCAATTATAGCTGTTGTGGCCATACTCTGTGACCTTGACACATTGACGTTGCAGCCGACGATGCTTACCAGTGAGAAAGTTCCTTACTGTCTAGGCTTAAATCCAACGCAATCATGGCATCCCTATAGCTGTAGAGATGGCTGTTGTGAGTCTATCACGTAAGTGACAAACATGTATGGACTTGCCCCGCAGCAGTCGGTCGATGGCGTTGGTGCGCTGGGCTTCTGTCAGTCGTGGCATGCTTTCACTTTTCACTTGCTGTACGACTGTGATAACAGACAACCGTCACCCCATCTTTTTCATAGCCGAACAATTATGTTGCACGTTCATTCCATGTTGGCGTGTTCCCCGCCACGCTCCCGCGTGGTTGCGTTTTTGCGTTTCGCCGACCTTTTCGGTATTTTTGGCCATGCTGTATTCTACCTAAATCCCGATGCATACAGACATAGGAAATGCATATTTAGTATCCATCCGTCCGTGCAATTTCTTCTTTTCCGGAGCAGAACTTTAAAACCGTCCAATGTTGGCATATAGATAGGTCTGGTGGTGAACTGGTGCTTTTTGGTAGTTTCTGAATAAAATCATTTTTGCGTTTCCAAGGCAACAAGTTTGACTTAGACTGAAATTGGTGGTAGTGCTCCTTTCCGGAACAGAACTTTGGTTTAGTTTAAAACCGTTCAATGCTCTCCTTTCACTTTGTGGGTATTCAAGAACCTAATGACATGAATCAACAGTATCAACATTCCTGAGGTACATCAAACCGTGGAAGCACTCAGGCAGTCTGTTGTTGATACAAGCATGCTAGTATATGAATAGTTAACATATATATTATGTTTTCGTTAGATAAATGTGAAGAACAATGTAACATTTGACATAGTCATAACTAGTTGACACAATCATGAAGAGTATTATACAATTGCGGGGGGATATTGATGACTTGCCTTCTTGTTCTTCTTCTTTGGTAGGGGCGGTGGGGTAGCCAAGTGGGTAAAGCGTTGGCTCATCACGCCGAAGACCCGGGTTCAATTCCCCACATGGGTACAATGTGTGAAGCCCATTTCTGGTGTCCCCCGTCGTGATGTTGCTGGAATATTGCTAAAAGCGGCGTAAAACTAAACTCGCTCGCTCGCTCTTCTTTGGTACCATTCACGCTATCATTCACTTTGCCTGAAACCTCCATTCCCTCTACAACTCCCGCTTGCATTTTGTCTATCACTGATGCATTTATTCACTCCATCTTTCGTTTTATTCTAGATTCATTCAATCGATCACGACACGCTTACCATTCACTATTTCGTTTACTTATCACTCACTCTATCACACACTCAGCTGTCGAAACACAGCCCAGTATGTTTTATGCATACGTTTGGAACTCGTGTTATTCGGTACGTACACTGTTTCAGTTTCAAATGGATTTACCAGTTTCACAACTCATTGGCACTTACTGAAATAAGTATAACGGAGTGTTTTGACAACACATATAACATACACCCCACTTGACTGATTCATATATAAACATGTAAGCAACAACAGTCTGAACAAAACAGGCAATCTGTAGAATGTTTACAATGTTTGGGTAATTTACAAACTGACTTTATGGAGAAGGTCCTTTTTCTTCAGCAAACCATGCTTATCGCAAGAGGTGACTATTGAGCATGGGCGGATACAGCTTTTTGAGAAGGGGACAGTGCACACTTCATTTCTCACGAGAGCTTCAATGCCCATTTAATAAACTTTCAGGACAAAGGTGTGTGTGTTGGGGTGGGTGGGTGGGTGGTGGGTGTGTGTGTCTCTCTCTCTCTCTCTCTCTCTCTCTCTCTCTCTCTCTCTCTCTCTCTCTCTCTCTCTCTCTCTCTCTCTCTCTCTCTCTCTCTCTCTCTCTCTCTCTCTCTCTCTCTCTCTCTCTCTCTCTCTCTCTCTGGATCCGATTGAACAGTGTGGTTGATGCAGACTAGTCTATTTACAGACCGCCATCATTTAAATAGTGGTGGCAGCTGCGTTGAATAACCAAAGCTGATTTCAAAACTATTGATTTTAAGTTTAAGTTCATTCCAAGGAAAATTTTTTTTTTTATAACATACATTAATTTTATACAGATATTAAAACGTGTACTCTGAAATGGCGAAAGAACGCAATCTAAAATTGACACCATATGGCTCAACAGATAAATCGAACTGGCACCATCTTGCTATTTAAGCACACAACTCACTACCGTCTTACAGTGTACAGTTCTTTGATTAGTCTGAAAAGGGCTCCTCATTTTACCTTAAATTCTTAAATTCTAGTTTGTGTTCTTTGCAAACGTTTCCGTGGATTATCATGTTATGTTCACAAGCAAGTAGAGATGTTCCGCATTTCAAATTTGAATATGTATTTAGTATAAGCAATACTAAATTCAGTGTACATTTAATTAAACACAACGCTAATTGATAATCGTTATCAGTAAACGTGAAAATTGTCCGTAAGATCGGCCAAACACAGAAACAAATACGTTAACTGTAGAAAAATGAAAGTGCTGTGGTATCAACTATAGTCATATGACAGATCCGCTACATTAATATGAAAGAGCCATGGCAAAAACAGATTACCTGTCGTAACATGAAAGAATCATGATATGGCATGAAAGACTAACCACAGTAACATGAAAGAATCACAACAATATGTACCCTATGTGGAATGTGACAGTATCAACCCTATGTGGTATGTGACAATATGAACCCTATGTGGTATGTGACAATATGAACCCTATGTGGTATGTGACAATATGAACCCTATGTGGTATGTGACAATATGAACCCTATGTGGTATGTGACAGTATGAACCCTATGTGGAATGTGACAATATGAACCCTATGTGGTATGTGACAATATGAACCCTATACGGTATGTGACAGTATCAACCCTATGTGGTATGTTACAATATGAACCCTATGTGGTTTGTGACAGTATGAACCCTATGTGGTATGTGACAATATGAACCCTATGTGGTATGTGACAGTATGAACCCTATGTGGTATGTTACAATATGAAACCTATGTGGTATGTGACATTATGAACCCTTTGTGGTATGTGACAGTATATGAACCCTATGTGGTATGTGACAGTATGCACCCTATGTGGTATGTGACAGTATGAACCCTATGTGGTATGTGACAGTATGAACCCTATGTGGTATGTTACAATATGAACCCTATGTGGTTTGTGACAGTATGAACCCTATGTGGTATGTGACAGTATCAACCCTATGTGGTATGTGACAGTATGAACCCTATGTGGTATGTGACAGTATCAACCCTATGTGGTATGTGACAGTATCAACCCTATACGGTATGTGACAGTATGAACCCTATGCGGTATGTGACAGTATGAACCCTATGTGGTATGTGACAGTATGAACCCTATGTGGTATGTGACAGTATGTACCCTATGTGGTATGTGACAGTATGTACCCTATGTGGTATGTGACAGTATGTACCCTATGTGGTATGTGACAGTATGAACCCTATGTGGTATGTGACAGTATGAACCCTATGCGGTATGTGACAGTATGAACCCTATGCGGTATGTGAAAGTATCAATCCTGTGGTGTGTGACAGTATATGAACCCTATGTGGTTTGTGACAGTATGAACCCTATGTGGTGTGTGACAATATGAACCCTATGTGGTATGTGACAGTATGAACCCTATGTGGTATCTTACAATATGAAACCTATGGGGGATGTGACAGTATGCACCCTATGTGGTATGTGACAGTATGAACCCTATGTGGTATGTGACAGTATGAACCCTATGTGGTATGTGACAGTATGAACCCTATGTGGTGTGTGACAGTATGAACCCTATGTGGTATGTTACAATATGAACCCTATGTGGTTTGTGACAGTATGAACCCTATGTGGTGTGTGACAGTATCAACCCTATGTGGTATGTGACAGTATGAACCCTATGTGGTATGTGACAGTATGAACCCTATGTGGTATGTGACAGTATAAACCCTATACGGTATGTGACAGTATGAACCCTATGCGGTATGTGACAGTATGAACCCTATGTGGTATGTGACAGTATGAACCCTATGCGGTATGTGACAGTATGTACCCTATGTGGTATGTGACAGTATGTACCCTATGTGGTATGTGACAGTATGTACCCTATGTGGTATGTGACAGTATGAACCCTATGTGGTATGTGACAGTATGAACCCTATACGGTATGTGACAGTATGAACCCTATGTGGTATGTGACAGTATCAATCCTATGCGGTGTGTGACAGTATGAACCCTATGTGGTATGTGACAGTATCAACCCTATGTGGTATGTGACAATATGAACCCTATGTGGTATGTGACAGTATGAACCCTATGTGTAATGTGACAGTATCAACCCTATGTGGTATGTGACAATATGAACCCTATGTGGTATGTGACAGTATGAACCCTATGTGTGATGCGTTATGTGACAGTATGAACCCTATATGGTATGTGACAGTATGAACCCTATGCGGTATGTGACAGTATGAACCCTATGTGGTATGTGACAGTATGAACCCTATGCGGTATGTGACAGTATGAACCCTATGTGGTATGTGACAGTATCTACCCTATATGGTATGTGACAGTATGAACCCTATGCGGTATGTGACAGTATGAAACCTATGCGGTATGTGACAGTATGAACCCTATGTGGTATGTGACAGTATGAACCCTATACGGTATGTGACAGTATAAACCCTATACGGTATGTGACAATATGAACCCTGTGTGGTGTCTGACAGTATGTACCCTATACGGTATGTGACAGTATGAACCCTATGTGGAATGTGACAGTATGAACCCTATGTGGAATGTGACAGTATGAACCCTATGTGGAATGTGACAGTATGAACCCTATGTGGAATGTGACAGTATGAACCCTATGTGGAATGTGACAGTATCTACCCTATGCGGTATGTGACAGTATGAAACCTATGCGGTATGTGACAGTATGAACCCTATGTGGTATGTGACAGTATGAACCCTATACGGTATGTGACAGTATAAACCCTATACGGTATGTGACAATATGAACCCTGTGTGGTGTCTGACAGTATGTAGTCTATACGGTATGTGACAGTATGAACCCTATGTGGAATGTGACAGTATGAACCCTATGTGGAATGTGACAGTATGAACCCTATGTGGAATGTGACAGTATGAACCCTATGTGGAATGTGACAGTATCTACCCTATGTGGTATGTGACAGTATCAACCCTATGTGGAATGTGACAATATGAACCCTATGTGGTATGTGACAGTATGTACCCTATGTGGTATGTGACAGTATGTACCCTATGTGGTATGTGACAGTATGAACCCTATGTGGTATGTGACAGTATGCACCCTATGTGGTATGTGACAAAATGAACCCTTTGTGGTATGCGACAGTATCAACCCTATGTGGTGTGTGACAGTATGAAGCATATGCACTGACATTTTAAATTCTACCAGTTCCTCTAAAGTGTATTTAATTACTGTTTTTAATTAAATGTTTGACATTAAACGTGAGCGCCACAGTCGTGGTTAATAACAATGGGGAGACAGAAATGAAAAAGACAACGCATCTGTGCATGGTCCTCAACTCGTGTGACATGGACAATCAATCCGGAAAGCGTACGAGTTGTACAAGGTTGTCTGAATATCTCATTGTCGGTAGAAAGACACGTGGAGCGTTATTCCCATGTGGTTATGACTCCCTCACAGCAGACTGAAGCCATCCAACACTCTCAAATCCACGACCCAGTGCGCAAGGATCAAAATACCGATGGAACGTTTACTTTAGCCTTGCTCCAAGGTTGTACTGAGTGCTGAGCCTATTGGTATATAGTAATTCTATCCTTTAAAGAGGCAAGTCTAGATACGCGGACAGTAAGGACACCAGTCCGTCAGAGGAATACTTTCATATTTTATAGAA